GCCGGAAGAGAGATCCTCAATTGAGAAATGAGATAAAAGAAATTGTTAGCATAGAACTTCAGCTGTAAATTGGTGAGGCCTTGCTGCTGATCTAGTACTGCGTCTAAATTCATTAAGTCTAGGTACCATAAAAACAGGTTCATCAGAACAATTACTATGAAAAGATTTATAAAAAAAGATACAGGAATGCAGATGATACGGTGTTTGGAAAGTGTCTGAACAAGGACCAGCATCATTGTGTATTCTTCTTTGGATTTTATCAAGTATTTCTAAATAGATAACAGGAGTACCAGAACAGATGTGACAGCAATATTCAAAGGAAGGACAAATGCTAGTCATATAAATAAGTGGTGGAGTAATGGATAGCGGCTCGGATTGAGAACTCGAAGAGCCGAGTTCGAATTCCAGTAGAATTCATTACATTCACTTACGTGTTAATACCCTTGAGAAAGGTATGAATCTTCTTTTTCTTCCCCCCCCCCAGTTATGGGTAAATAGCAGGACAGACTGAGTTCTATAGCCTTGGATGGCAACTAGTTTGCTGCAGAAAGAAATGGCAACCTAACGCGGAAAAAAATCGGCCTCGTCGAAAGATACATGATCGCCTAAGCAGTTATGTGCCATGTGTATTACGCATGGCACATAACTGAAGACAGATTCTGTCGAGAAAAAATTGTCTAGCATGACATAGCTGCAGACGTAGCATTTGAATCAATATACACTTTACACTTCATGTCAGCGGAAAACCTTATGAGACACTCTCCTGGAGGTTAGCATCAGCCATGATATATACTTTATCTTACGTTTACGTATACGTTTATTGATTAGAGGTGGATATTTGAATCAATGGATGCATATATTATGATAGATGTACCATTTGAATAGCGTATATTGAAAAGCTCAATCTGTTAAACAGATGCCTATCATGTATTGAATAGATACATCTATTCAAAAGAAGCGTATCAAATATTTCAACTGGTTCCTCTATTAATAGATGCCTATCATATTTTGAACAGATGCCTCTACTGAAGAAAAGCATCGCATATTCAAAAGATGCCTCTATTTATAAACTCCTATCAGGAATTGAACAGATGCGTCTATTGAAGAGATTTGTACTGCTTGTTCAATGTATGCTTCTAATAATAGATACCTATCATATATTGAGGAGAGGTCTATAGCATGTTCAACCGGTGCCTCTATTAATAGATGCCTATCATGCCTATAATGTGCTGAATAGATGCGTCTATTGAATAGAAGTATATCGCATGTTTAATGGTTGCCTCTATTAATAGATGTCTATCATGTATTGAACAGATGCCTCTTATCGCATACTAAATAGATGCCTGTATTAATAGATTCCTATCAGGAAATGAACAGATGCGTCTATTGAAGAGATGTGTACTGCATGTTCAAAGTATGCCTCTAATAATATATACCTATCATTTGCTGAATAGCTGCATCTATTGAGGTGAAGTGTATCGCTTGTTCAATCAGTGCCTATTTTAATAGATGCCTACCACGTATTGAATAGACGCACCTATTGGAGAAAACGTAGATCAGGTGCATTGGTTCATCAATACATCAATGGTAACATGGTGACAAAATGCATTTATTTTGCACAAGGAATATTTGCTTTTATACATAATCGCTTCTATTGGAGTGCACTTTATTAAGTAGTTTTAGAAATATTAATCCATATATCGAACATGTTGTAGCGAGAATTTGAAAACAGAAGTGAGCCAGTCACCTACTGTCAAGCTGCCGACATTGATTTTCCTTTATATTACATTCGCAAATCTTCACTGACTTTTGTAACATTCGCGCGATATATATATATATATATATATATATATATATATATAAAGATTTGAGAATATATATATATATATATATATATATATATATATATATAATTTATTAGAAAATTATGACATAAATATATTAGAAAATCACAACAAAAATAGACATTTTTTAAGTGATGGTGTTGAATACTTGATAAGACACCAGAAGAAACAAAATGGCTATTTTTGTAGTGATTTTATAACATATTTATGTTATGATTTTCGAATAAATTATATTTGCTCTATTCTGTATTGAGCACTCTTTTAAGAATAGTATTTGTTAGTTATTGGTATTTATTCCGTATGCACCAATCTTATACATATATATATATATATATATATATATATATATATATATATATATATATATATATATATTGATGCATGTTTCATTAAATAATATAGACAAGTTTTGTCTATTTATTTTAAGTAAATTCCTTTCATATTGTCTGATAAGTTTAATGACATTATGATTAAAAGATGAAAGGAAATCCCCATATTGATACATCTTTTTTTAATCCTGTCTAAGCTTTCGGCTTACATAAGCCATTATCAAAGATGGCAATTACATTTCAATATATTAAACAATACACGGGCAAAACAATAAAGATACTCTGTTTTTGTTGCATGAAAAATTTCCAAGCAACGACAAACTCGTGTATACAAGACGCGGAAGCGAAAATCGCATCGCAACACGTGACGTCACACATGACAACGCGAGAGTGAAAACAGAAAGTGTTAAGCGTGGGAAGCCGTTGGTATAAACCAATGGTTTCTTTTTATCATTTATAGGCATTTAAACACACACAATATATATATATATATATATATATATATATGTTATAAAATGACAATTGGAAAAAAATCTTAGATTTTGCCGACGCGTTTCGTCTTCCGACTTTTTCAAGGCAAAAATGAAATCGAAATGTTTTTGTTGTTATAGTTACAGTAAAAAATTCAAATTTAAAATTTCTAAGATTTTTTTTCAGTTGTCATTTTATACCAATCTGTCTTGTCCACAGAATTGATCTGGGAATTTAACTATATATATATATATATATATATATATATATATATATATATATATATATATATATATATATATATATATATATATAATACTCGTATATATATATTTATATATATAAATATTACATGAATCATTCATACAAAAAACAGATTAGTGAAGTTATAATGATATAAATGGCGAGAATACATCTTTGCAAATAATTTATTAAAATTACCTTAACCCACGAACCTCTAGATGAATGTTGTGATCCCTGTTTTTAATAAATTCAACTTGTATAAGATCTTTTTTTGCTACTACTTTCATCTGTTCATACAGACATCATCAGACATGGAAATTGATATTTTTTTAAATAAAAATATATATATAGTTGGCCACCAGGGCGGCTAACCAATCCCTATTACAGACGCTCGATCAGGCACATTTGTGTTTGTTCTACACCCACAGAGCCCACCTGTGGCTTATACTGCAGCTATGCTGAACAGAATTTAGTTACAGTTTCTAGGAGAGAGCATGTTATCTAGCGTGATTAACAATCTAAACAAGGCCAGCACACTCAAACCCTCGGTCACGATGACTTGTGGCTTCGTGCTAGCACAGCTATCGACGGCTCCCAAGAATTCTGTCTACATAATTTCACTCATAAAGCGTGGGTGAACCCATGGTATTGTTTTCAGGCATTTTGCAAAGGTGACGCACGCTGGGATCGACGTCAATCCAGTCCGATAACATCCGGAATTCGTCTTCCTGACAATCTCATGGTAAGAAAGCGAACATTCTAACCAATCGCCCACACCACTATTCACATCAATCCAACCAAATATATATATATATATATATATATATATATATATATATGAATAAAAATGACAATAGTAAAACTGGTAATTGCTGACGCGTTTCGTCCAATGTGGACTTTATCAAAGCAAAATACGAAAATGAAATTAATTGAACAAAGTAACTAATAAAAACAAAAACAGAATGTACCTAGCAACTGGAATATAGAGAAACGCTATTTTCATATTTTTTAACTGAAAAATAACGCCAGTATTTGTCACGTGTGGAGAATATTGTCATTATATCTGTGTCGATGTATTCAACCATTTTCTTTTGATTTTATGAATCTGTTGTGTATATTTGTTTGTAAGAGCATTAATTTTGTTAAGAAGGGTGAAATGTGGAAAAAAACTGGGCGTAGATTAATATTTGGGTAATTTTCTATGGCGGCACTCTCCAGAATTTTCCTTCTGAGTGAGTTATTTTCTTTTTTTATGAGTGTAGCATTTCTAAAATCAAAATTATTGTTGAATTTATTTCTATGTATGACTAGTGCATTAGCTAAGTTTATATATATATGTTTCATTGAATAATATAGACATATTGTGTCTATTTAGTTTTATATTGGTACTTAAACTGATAAATTATTTTTTTAATAATTACAGATCGCTTTCGTACGTGTTTTTAGAATTCACCATCACAACAGAATACAGATTCCATTGCAGTTACAATAAGTCTTTCTTTGTAATTTACCCCTGAAGATGATCTTGGGAAAGATCGAAAGTACTTGGGTAAAAAAACAAAACAAAAAAACATCTACGCCGCTTTCCTCGGTGAATTTTATCTTAACATCAAGAAATTGAACTGGAAAGGAGCAGTATAAAAATAAGTAGACAATATGTCTATATTATTAAAAATAAGTAAACACAATATATCTAAATTATTCAACGAGACATTTTTATTTATATATTTTGTTAACATTTTAAAGTTTGGTCCTAATGTTTGGTAAGGAAATTATATGATTTCTTCAGGAAATTCTTTTATCTTTCTATCCATCCTACTCTCTCTAAGGGTGACCAATTCTGATCAACACACACGCACAAATACACACAGACACTCACTTACACACTCACACTCACATACACGCACAAGCATATATATATGTGCGTGTATATATGTGTGTATGTGTTTGAATTGGAATATGCGTGAGTGGGTGGGTGTTTGTCTTTGTATGGGTGTGTTTGTGTGTGCGGATCAACTTGCCTTGAAAGTTGCAGTTCGTCCTTCTAGAAATTTTCTGAGCGCGATCACCGTGCAATGAATCAGGAGAAGAAAAATGTATTTTTCTAATCAACCATTCTGGTGCCCGAATAGATAGATAGATAGATAGATAGATAGATAGATAGATAGATAGATAGATAGATAGATTTTCGAAGTCATTACTGCAATTTTCTTGGGAGAAAAATCTATTCCTATTAATTAAAAAAAATTAAATTTTTATTTTTTGTTTCCTTGGTTTTAAAACTAATTTAATGAACAAGTCTCTTTAAACGAATAACAAAGATTTACATAAATCATATATATATATATATATATATATATATATATATATATATATATATATATATATATTTGTGTCTGTATGTGTGTGTGCATATATCTATGTATATATATATATATATATATATATATATATATAATCCATATGTATGTTAATTTATAACTAACATATATAGAGACTTATATATTATTATATATATACATAAAAGTCATATATATATATATATATATATATATATATATATATATATTTACAAACCTTCATACTGACTCAAAATAATTAAATATGCTGATACTCACTATATACATCTGTTTTATATATATATGTTTTATGTCTGTTTATATATACATCTGTGTATCTCGTGTTTGTGGGTCAATATGTATATCCCATTGCGCGCATGCGTGTCGAATATGTGTATTTATATACCTGTGTTTTTCTGTGATTTTATTCGCCATTTGTGTATGTAGTTGTGCTTGTGTGAATACGTGCGTCTGTGTGCGCGCGTGTGTGCGTTTGCCTCTGTGCGTGCGTGTGTATAAGACCTGAGGCTTGTAATGATCCAGTGAACTAAATTAATGTTCTAATTGGTGTAGCTTCTTCTTCCGTGTTGGCGATTCGACTCATTAAGATGAAATTATAAACATACATCCACCAGTGTAAGCATGTACACACGTATGCCAGTTTATGCATGTGTATGTTCATATATATATATATATATATATATATATATATATATATATATATAATCTTTGTACGTCTTTATGTGGGGAGCATATTATTTTGTATCTATTATGTATTAAGCCTTATTTTGAATTCCAGAATAGGAGAACTGAGTTCGATTTCTGATCGGATTCTTTACATTTACTTAAGCGAAAATAAACTTGGAAAAGTATCAAGCCATCTCATCTCCCCTACTATGGGTTAAATAGAATGACGTGTAGATGGAAAAATTATTCGTATTCAAAAAAAGTTGTTAATGCAATATTCATTGACAAAAAAAATAATTACAATCCAATACATGTTCTGTCTTTAATCAACGGTTGATAAGCCATAAAAACAATCAAACAATCAATCGTTTATTTCTGTTCAAATCCAGGATAACGACAAGCTGTTATGAAAGATTAAAAGATTGGCTCAATATAGTTTTCCGACCTTTCTTCTTCTTCCCAGATACCGACATAGGTAAACTGAAAACAACCAATATATATATATATATATATATATATATATATATATATATATATATATAATATATATATATAAACAGCAAAATTGTCAATTGTTAAAGTTTCAACCATTGTATCTTAGAAATGATAAAAGATATCTTACTGGAATACTCCGAGGTTTTTTTACAACACTATTGGACTTACAATAAGATTGTATAATTACTCTCCAAGCTTAACAGAAGAATCGTGATGAAATCGATCATAAGCGAAAATGACATGTTCATCATTAATTAATCATAGCCAAGGATCGGAAGCTCATGAAAGATTGAAATAAAGTTCATATATATATATATATATATATATATATATATATATATATATATATATATATTCCAATATCATTTTTTCAACTTATCCAAGATGATCCTTCCCTTCTCATTTTGAAGTTTTTTCCACAGCTCTTTAAATCATGATAGCTGAAACTCTTCTCTCGCGTGCCAGATGTCTTATGGATTGAGTGGTGTCTTTTTTTTAATTGATCTTTTTAGCTTTCAGTTGAAATGATGATCCCTCTTCCTGTTTTGAATTCCTGATCCAATTTTCTTCTCTATTGTTCCCTTTTTATTAAAGTTATTCACCGTTGTTTTGATGGTTCTTGAATAGAATTGAATATGGAAGCCAGAGTATGAATGTTGGTCCCATTACTGAAGGCTTGAATGATCTTTTTCCTCTCACTATTGCTCATTTGTTAAAACAGTTGGGCTGACACAAAACGATTTTAACCTGTTCTTTTTCTAGCTAAATAACTCAGATATTCTTACGACAAATGGTGTCAAGGTGGCTAAACGTCTTATCTGATAACCTGTAAAAATAATTTAGTTTAGTGTTTTTTTCGATATTAAACATTTTATGGGATGGATAATTATGCTGTTACACCAGGTATATATATATATATATATATATATATATATATATATATATATATAAAATATTAAGTAGGAAAAACTTAGCACATCATTATTTCAACACATAAGTTTTAATATCTGCCTCATAAGATCAAAATTACAAAATGTTTTGAATTTATCCAGATAATATATTAAAAATTCTTTTAAAATTGAATCACAAGAAAACAGGAAGTATATATATATATATATATATATATATATATATATATATATATATATATATCAATTGGGTTCAAATGCAGATTAAATATGGATCGGCATCTGACGGAATGATAATATGCAGAACAAATAGGAAACGTTTATCAATCCAACATGTTTCACTTCAATAAAGCTTCATCAGAGAATGAGATATGGAAAAAAAAGAAGAAAGAAATTCTTGTATTTTTACATCTTTTGTGTTGTTTGATTTTTATTGCTGAATCAGGTTTCACGTGCATTTGACTTGTTAAACAAACGTTAGTACAATTTGTGGCGTTCTGAATTCAAAGAGAGATGACACGTTCTTTCAAAGTTCCAAGAAATTAACGGATTACAAAAACTAACATAAAAACCGTAAATATTGCTTTATATATGTAAGTGTATAATAATTCTAGTTTGTCTATGTGAAATTTAGATGATAATGTATATGCCTAAGTGTGTGTGTGTGTGTGTGTGTGTGTGTGTGTGTGTGTGTGTGTGTGTGTGTGTGTGTGTATCTAATAGATATTATGTTTGGTGATTGTTCGCATGTTGATCGAGAAACATTTTTACGTACAGACCGTTTCTTTTTTTTATTCATTATACGTTAGAATCTTTACGGATGGATTCAGTACAGTTTGGTAAAGTAATATAATGTTTTGACGAGTATTATAGTTGGTAAAATATTTATTAGTAATCTCTCGAAGGGTTGTCCAATCGTTAATCTTTTTTTTTATATTCGTAGATACGTGATTTTAGATTTTTGAGATGTTTCGCCGATATAAGTGCTTTTACATTATAAATAATTTAAGTACCGGCATCTGAATTGGTTTAGAATTTATTTTTCTTCCTAATTCTATCTCCGATAATCTTGGACGTAGTGGTAAAGATCCTAGAATTAGGGATAACTAATTTATTTACACATTTTATAGAAAGCGTGTCAGAGAGCAGGATTATGTTTTTGTTTTTCTTTGTTTTTTTTTTGTTTTTTTTGTTGTTTGTTTGTTTTTTTGTGTGTGTGTTGTTGATATTAGAAGTTTTGTCTATGGTTTCTAGTTTAGGTCATTTGTGAATTTCGTAAGCTCGTTCTCGCGCGTTGAGGATGAAATGATGTGGTTAGTGAAGACGTCTAAATGTTTTTTTAATATATGTCTCTTCTTCACCTGGGTCTTCTGGATTACATATTCTAAGGGCCCTGAGATAGAAGCTAATGACTAATTCTGATTTTATTTTTTTGATTGTTCTACGAATGGAAATTAATTTAAATCGTTTTTGTTAGTAATTAACTTGCAGGATAACGTTGAGTTAAATGCTTTGACAAGGATGGAAATCATTTTGGAAAAACGAAAAATATTTGTTATATAAATGAACATTTTACGATTGTCTACGAATTCATTGATAGTTGTAATTTGGTAACAGTTTTCAGTTTCCACTGCAAGGTAAGGACACACTTCGGTCAAAGAATTGGTTTTCCCTGTTGTAAAAAAGGGAATACAGTTTCGATTCCTGTGGGAGTGGAGATTTTCTTTTTGTAGGACTTTTCAATCTAGGAAGGTTCATGAATTTCACTGGGCCCAGTGGATAAAAGCAAAAAGATAGTAATCCAAAAATTGGCTTGATTCAAAGATTTGTGAGTTTAATACTTGGTTACAGCAAAAAGAACATACATTTGGAGAGCTGAATTACGAAAGGGAATTAAATGAAACTGAGATATACAAATAAGGCATGGAATGTGGAATTAGAACCATCTAACCCCGTGGATTAAATAAAGGGTTCGGTTCGAAATTCCAACCTATAACATCTGAAGAAGGTTAGAGCGTACACCGGCCGAAACGTTGTGTATATGTCAATAACGATGAGGACAAAAGTCCAAACGATGTACATAGTGTAAATTGTTATAATACCTCATCGCAGAAATATAGATAGAAACTAAAATATATCTGTAAAAAACAATATTAATAAAGACAAAAGAGAAAATTATCTTAGCCGACGCGTTTCGTCCTCTGATAGACTGTATCCAGGCAAATGTAAGGAT